GGCTCCTGCAGAGCAAGATGTGGTTCCTCGAGTGTGAACGTGTTGCCTTTTTGCCCTAAAACACAAAGCCAGTCTGGTGGGTTTCTTTTCCTAATGGTGGGAACAGTTTGTTGGGGGTGACCGTTGACCAAGCCCCCGAGCCTGTCTGGGGAGTGGTCCGGGTGGGTTTGCGCTGACCTCAACACAAGCTGCAGTTCTTCCTTGTTACGGGACCTTCCCTGGGATGCTGAGCTGAGGCTCCTAGGAGCTCGCCACGTGGGTTCTTCCAAGTCCCCCCCTTCTTGTGGCTGTCACCCGTGGGGTTGTGCGTGTGCTGTGGACACGTGTCCAGGGGCTATCTCTCCAGTACAGTGTGAGGTTGGGGTAGGCCAGCAAAAGCCCAGCCGGGCTGACATTTGGATGGACTGGTTCCTTTGGATGTGGGAAGCTTCGGTGTTCCTTTTATCGGACTTGGTTTCTGTAATTGCTGCTCTAACAACGTCACTCCCAAATTAAGTCATATTCAGCAGAGTCTTGAGTAAGTAGTACCTCTGACCCTTCAATTCGGGTTGTCCAGCATGGCCAGTTCCTTCTTGTTTTTAAAAAGAGCAACCTAGCTGGGCACGGTGGAGCACACCTGTAATCCCAGCAGCTTGGGAGGCTGAGGCAGGAGGATCACAAGTTCAAAACCAGCCTCAGCAACTCCATGAGATCCTGTCTCTAAATAATATATAATAAAAGGACTCAGGGTTCAATCTCCCCTATCAAAAAAAGAAAAGGGCGCCAGAGATGCTTCATAGTCCTCCTGCTCTGTGACAATTTTAAAACCAAGCAGTTTTTCTTTTTTTAATCTAAAAATTTTTTCTAAGTTTTAATATAAAAAAATAGCTTAGGAGACTTCACATAAAAAAAAAAATAAGTAACTGCACTAAAATGCCATTCCCAACATTTTAATTGTTCCAACTGAGTCGCTTTGGGAAACTGAATTCCTTCAGCATTATGTGTTCAGGGCTCCCTGAGTTCGGCTGTTCGATAACTCGCTAAAGAGCAGGATGAATAACATAAAGTGACTCCTAATATGGAATCATTTTCATTTCCTGTTTGTTGAAAGATAAATGCTAACACTGTAAGGCTTTTTCTTCTTCTTCTTCTTCTTAATTTATTCCTCCCTGAGCCACAAGGGAATAAAGAGAACGAAAAAAATCAAACGCGATATGGTTTGCGACTGAGTCATCCAGCCAGGACGAGCCCGTGGTGCTCTGCTCCTTTTGTACCTTGCCCTCTTTTCCATCTGCCCTCATGCCCGAGCCCCTCTCCCCGCAGACAGTCACTTCCCTACAAAAGTGAAGCATTTTCAATTTTGGAATAATTGTCATCTTGCAAAAATTGCTTTCAAAAGGATGTAAGGTGAATTATGTCACATAGAAGGAATGAGCCCCTTCGCATTGCTAAGGTATTATTTTGGACAAATGGTCTAGAAAAGTATTGAAATAAAACTATATGTAGATTCTTTCTCATTCTCTCTCCCCTTCTGCCCTCCTGCTCTCCCTTGCTCTCATTAATCTCTCCTGTATTTTCACTGAGGCTCTCTGCTGTTCTTTTAAATATACCTTTTACCTTTGGGGGGATATATTTCCCCCTTTTTAAACCAAAGTTGTCACTGTCTATTCCCTATGCCCAACTGTCTTGGGTCATCAAAGTCGTTGAGTTAAAACAGTCCAAGCACAAAGGTTGTAGCACCCAATAAGTAGGAAGCCAGCACCTGCTCTATGCCTCCAATCAGAAACGTCTCCTGACATCAGAAGACTCAGATCATGATAATGGCGGGTCCCCACTTGGACATGGGTGTGAGCTCACTCTTTCCCCGTGGGGATGGGGACCGCATGGCAGGTCCCCACGTGAATACGTGAGTGAGCTCACTATGTCCTGGTGGGATGGGAACTGTCTACCAGACTTCTGACCCTGGTTCTCTCTGCTGACGTCACCCGCCAGCACCGTCTTACTCTGTGCTACCTGTGAAGAAAGGTGAGCCTACGTCTGCACAGGTGTATCCATCTGTCTGGGTTTCTCCACGACCCCAACAGGTGGGTCTACGAGTCGTAGCTGCCTCACTCACCATCCTCTGAGTCAGGCTGGTTAACAGGCATGATTCACCTGTGTCTTTACCTGGGCCTGCTCCCCAGGCCTCCTTGGTGCCGGCAGGTCTGGAACTCCCCAGTTCAAGGCTAATGCGTCTGGTCTTGAGAAATCTCACACTCACACCTCCGGTTCCTGGGTGTTTAGCAGTGTGTCTATGAATTCCAAAATGAAGAGGCCAGCACATGGTTTTCTCACACTTCGTGGAGCCATAGTTACGTGGAATCTGTGTGATTTAGTTAAACAGTCGTGCATCTGTATTCACAGAGATAACGACCCCTTTTCTTCCTACTAGCTTGCTAAAGACAAAGAACGCCTCCAGGCCATGATGACCCACCTGCATGTGAAGTCTACGGAACCCAAAGCCGCCCCTCAGCCCGTAAGTACTGGTGGACATCAAGGGGGCCCTGACACTGAGTGGTCCTCTTCTGCCTCCTGTCCAGGTGTGGGGAGGGGGACAGCCCTGCAGGGGCAGGTTTTCGTGCGGAGGTTTCTGGTGCCCGTTCCTGGTGAGGGCAGTGTGCCGGGCATCTGGGGAGACACAGGACAAGTCAGATATGGTCCTTGCCCGTGAGGCCCAAGCTACCAGCTCTTGTTTGGAGCAGAGTCATCTTCGCTGAACCCTGGTGCTGAAACGCGTGCTGAAACGCATTCTGAGCGCTTGCCAGGGGCGGGACCATGGCAGCAGAACAAAGAGGCATCTAGGCCAGGCAGGGCCAGGGACAGTGTTGTGTTAGTACAGGGGCAGGAAGAGTCCAGCCCAAGTGACGGTCAAGGGGAAAGGACCCTGTCGGGCTGCTGCAGCCCGCATGATGGAGACGCCCAGTGCACCCGGCACCCGGCGGGGAGTGAGCTCCGCGCAGGCAGGACCAGGGTTCTCCTAGCTCTTGGTTCCCTGTAGAAGGCCTTGAAGGGTGCCATCGCAGCATGAGCGGTGAACACCCAGGTGCGAGGATGATGCCCAAGTGCAGATCCTGCCTGGGACCTTGCTCCTGGGAATGAGCTCTCTTGAGCGGGTGTCTCTCTCTCTCACACATGTTCCTAAAAACCTCCTGGTAGCTTCAACTGATTATTCAAAATGGAGACAGTGCTTTGCCTCTTGATTTTAAGATTTGTAAAATTTAAAGGTACACTGCCTTTATTTGATTTTGCTGGGAGTCACTGTGTGAAAATTAATTGAGCGTTGACAATCTATAGTTAGTACCAGCAATTTTAATCAATATGCAATGATGCAGCATAATGGCAAAGTATTGGTTTATCTGTTTTGACTGATTTTTTTCTATAAATAAAGCAAACACACACCCATATATGTATGATTTATGGTGATAGAAATAAAACGGAGTCAGACTATTAACCCAGCAAATATGGTAGCCTGCCAAGATGCAGTTGGCAGACAAAATTAATGTCTGAAACAGAGCACATTACTGAGATATAGGACATAAAATCATTAACCACTCTGCGCATCCATTTTTACTAGGAGAGAGTCCTTAGTCCGTGTACTTCCCTGGGATGGCTGTAGAACTGGATGGGCAGGTTACCACCAGGAAGGAAGGAACCACGCCTTCGGCTCTGCCCTCCCCCAGCCCCTTCTTCTGAGGAGGGTTCTGGGAAGAGTGGAGCCCGCAGTGGCATGGCTGGGGACCCAGGGCACGCACTGTCTGGAGCCCTCGGGAGGCCTAGAGACGGCTTCAGTGGAAGTTCTCCCACCCGCTGCAGGGGAAGAAGGGGGTAGTGCCTTCTTCCTCCCTGGATTCAGGTCGGATTGACGCAGCACCTAGGAGAGGACTTGTTGGGGATCACAGGGCTGTTTGGCAGGAGGAGGGATCTGTCCACAGAGAGGAAGGGCAAGCCCGCGTGGGCGCCATATACATGAAGACCACACTGGCTGAGAGGACCCTTGGGAATGGCCCCAGGGACCGTGCTAAGCCTCCTGTAAACAGGGAAAAGCAGCAGTGGGGGTGGGTGAACAGGAAAGGATGGTTTGCCTTGATTAGTGTTAAAAAAAAATGTTTTACATTCTAGAAAATTATAACTTTGAAGGGGACCTCCTACTAAATTTATTTTTAACTGCTCTATTGAAAATTCTCTACCCCTAGTCAACATTATCTCTCAGTAGCTCAGCACAGTATTTCTTTATTAAAAGAAATAGGCACGAATATTTTTGACTGAAAAATTAATAGCTTTTGAATTCATACACAGCAGGTTTTCTTTTGCAAAGAAGTCCAATATCGCCGCACAGCACTTCTATAACCATTTATTTAGAGTCCAAGTCAAACCTTTGACAGCTAGCACAGCTCTACAAGGCAGGATAAAGAGCCCCGAGATGTAAACCAACAATGGCCGTCTGTGTGAGGCTCGCCATTGTCAAATACATAGATTGTTTGGATTAGTTTATGTAAATGTACTGTTGTATTACCCTTTGGGAAAAAAAAGATCACATTTGTGTATGAAAAGTGGTTCCCTTCACAGGCTGCTTTATAAATCCCTTATCCTTTAACTTGCATGTAAGAAGTGAAATCGGTGCCTGGCAAGCAGATACTGTGTCACACACTCTGCCGTCCGAAAGAACCTGCCTTCTTTTCATTTATTGGAAAATAGAAAATTTTATTATAGATACCATCTTATAAATCAGGAATTATTAAAATATGTATAGGTGAGGCATTGGGAAATTAATTATAGAAGATAGACGTGTGATGTTTTGCATAAATTTTCACTTCCTTGCCAAGAAGAGCGCGGAGGGAAGGGCACAGCACACACGCCCTTGGCACTGGTGACTCTGGGGGCCCAGCGCGGGGGGCCACCCATCTTCACGTGCCAAGTGTCCCCACTGGCAGGTAATTAATTTGTTGGGCCTGGTGTTGGAGCCTGGTGTGAGTTTGGGTGCCGGGCTCGTGCCGAGGTGAGCCTCGGGGACTGGCGGCGTGGCCCTGCCATAGGTTCCGTTCCTGTGGAAGAGCAGCTGTTTAAGAATCCTTAGTCACTGAGTGACAGAACGCCTTGCTGTAAGTGCTGCCCGCACTGGGTGCTGTGGGGTGCGAGTCTCTCTGCTTGTCCCCAGTCGTCCCGGCTGTCCCTGCCCTTCTTGGACTGCTCTGATGTCAGCTGGGATGCACTGTCTGAATCCCAGGGTGGAGGTTCTTGGATCCAGATGGCTAGAGGGGCACTGACCACAGGACAGTGGCCACGGTGGCGTGGATCTGAGCGGGAGCCCCTGGGAAGAGAGCTGGGGGCCACGGCCATGCCAGTGCCCTGTCTTACTGTCCCTTTCCTCTTAGGACTGTGCCCAGGACGCGAGGGCGGCTGTCCTCCAGGGGAGTGTCTGCCTGGGAAGGCAAGCTCCTCTTCCAGCAGAGATTGATGGGGCAGGGAAGGCGATGGCCGCTGGCCTTGGGTGTCCGGGTTCAGTGCTGCCTGAGAGCCTGAAAGGTGGGCGGGTAGAGACCTCTAGAAGGCCAGGCCGAGGGGGATGAAGGCTTGGGAGCGTGTGGCCGCGTCCTCGGGGTGCATGCTGGGAGGGGAGGCGCTCCCTGCTCTCGGGTTGCTCCTGCGTGGAAAAGGGTAGAGAATCCCTGGGGGTGGCCGCAGGCTCTCGGGCTAGGCACCCGTGGGTGGCGAAGGGCCACCTTAGTGCAGTGCGGATGTTTTAAAGGACCCTCCCTTCCCAGGGAACGCGGTGCTGTGGCTAGAGCCCTAAGGAAGTTCCAACCTGCCCAGGCACCCCCGTGTCCCTGCTCACTGCAGGGAGCACTGGCTGCGGGACAGCACCCGCAGAAACCCGTCGGTTAGGGCTTGATGAAGTTGTTACGGATTTCTTTAAAAAGACCTTTTGCTGTCATTGTGGCAGGGAACACCATAAATCCGGTTTTATAACCTGGAACAGAGCAGTGTGCCCTGCTCCGGGGTAGAGCTGCGCCCGAGGGCCCCCAGATGGGGAGCAGCATTCTCTCAGATTGGGTGGGCGAGGGACACCATGCTGGTGGCAGGGCCTTCCCCTCGGAAGTGCCGTGAAGCATGTCTGGAGAAGCAGGCCGGTCGGTGACGTTCCTTGTTACCCGTTTTCTTTAGCCACAGCAGTTGGGGCTGTTTGGAAATGGCTTTTAGCTACTATAAAAACTAAAGTACCCCCCCCCACACACGAAGGGCCAGCACACCCTGGGGGAGCGGCAGGTGGCACGGGCTGCCGTCCGGGGCTCTGCAGCTCCATGCTGCTATGTGGACTGTCCGTCGCCCTGCCCGCTCACTCGGGCCTGGGAGTCTTGGTTGTGTGTCCTGCTTGCTGCACTGTAGCAGGCCTCTGCCAGGGGAGGGCAGCGAAGGCTCTGGACAGCCGGCAGCTGCCCCCGTGCCCTGCCTCCTGGCCTGGCACTGTTGGGCTCTGATTCAGTGATTTCTGCCTGCAGACCTCACTGCTGTTTAGGCAGGATTCGGCCAGTGGAACCAAGGGTCCCCAGTGTGCGCGTCCCTCAGGCTTCGGTTCCAGGTCCCCCTTTGTTCTCTGAACCTGTTTTCCAGTGAGGCAGGAGCCTCTGGATGTGCCCACAGCAAGGCCTCTGTCTGGGGCTGACATCAGCAGTCTGCTTATTTTCTTAAGATGGCGTGACTCATCTTCTTTGCATAGGAGAGGAGGTCTCTGGGTGAAAAGTGAAGATCCATCTTTTAAGAAAGGACCGAGTACCACCGTGCGTAGCTGAGAGACCTCCAGGGCAGTGCTGTGGCCACGGAGGGAGAAGAGTGCTAGGGGCACACTCAGTCTGCTCTAGCAAATCAAACGCTGCAGCCATTTTAAGTGACAGAAGAATTTAACTTTTGGCCAGAGTTTCAAAAAGATTATCTCTGCTGAAATCATCTGTGATGGAAGCCTGCCATGGAGAGAAATTCAGAGTTACTAACTTTTCTAAACATAGCAACTTCTTTTTAAATAGAAAATGAACACAATAAGAAAAATGGGCTTTCCACCAGGAACAGACGCCACCCCCCTCAGCCCATCCCTTCCTGCTCTGTGCCCTGGGGCGGGGCGGAGGAGGCTCTCCTAAGACCTTAGCTGAGATGAGAACCAGGGAGCCCAGGTGCCCACTTTCCTAATGAGGAGGAGTATCTCCTGGTGTGCTGGGCCACTCGCCCACGGCTGCCGTCCTGATCCCCTTCTTCAGAGCCTCTGTGATGGGCGGTGCGGGTTAGTCTGGAATCCCTCCAGCGCTGCCTTCTCTCGTGGCCTGTCGCTGAGATGGTCTCCTCTCAAGACACGGCTGGACCAAGATTTCCCAGTCGAGGAAGTCGCAGTGCAGTGGAAGGGTGGCCATGTCACTGGCTGCTGGTCCAGCTTCTGCTGGTTTTGAGAGGCAGAGCACCCTCCATCTGGAGTGCACGCTTTTTTGTTCTCCCTTCCCTCTCAGCTACATCATGTTTAATTTGAAGTCTGGGCTCCTTTGGCAAATTAGCAATTAGAGCGATTTTGTGGGGATGTGTGTATGTGTCATTAGTTTCCCTGCAAATTAATAGCAAGGGCAGGGGTCAGCCGGGAATTTTCCACTCGACGGTAGCTCCTCCACGCAGACCTGGTTCTGGATTTTGGATGGCCACAGCTGCTTTCGCCACCCTCTTCCTCTAGGAACTGCCTTTTAATTAGTTTACCTCATAGCCATCATTACAAACATTACTGCCACCCCTCCTTGAAATAGAATTACTGTTTCTACAAAATATCCCAGTGACATCTTGCACCACCGTGCACCGATGGAGGGGTCACCCGATGCAGCATTTAATCATTAGATCACCTCCATCCGCGTCTCCTAATTAGAGTCCTTACAATACATTTTTATCTGGTAATTAGCTGAGATTGGCTGCTTCCTCTGAGGCTTATTAGAGCCAGCCCAGCAGTGGGTGTGAATCACGGTGTCATTTGTCAAGCCTGGTAAACCCTCTCTGCTCCCTTCTGGCTCGCTGTTGATTTCCACTTGCTACCCACACTCAGAAGCATCCAGAAAATTCCACCTGTACCTCTTTCTTGGTGCGCTGAGCTAACCTGGAGGGATGTTGTTTCTCTTTGTTGCCCTCTGTGGTGGGATTGGTGCAGGTCTTAAGAGCTTCGTAGGAATTGAGTCCTTTTTGCATCTGGGGTCACTGTGTGGGGCTCCTCTACTTTTCTTGGATGTTAGCAACCAGAGGGTTGGGCTTACCCTCACCAAATGTTCATGAGGTTCGTTTTGGGTGGTTACACTAGGAGAGCAGGCTTGATGACCTTCCCAAGGGAGTCGGGAGGAGTGTGTGTTTCCCAAGGACATTAGTTTTCTTGCTGTGTTTTAAGCAGTGTGATTAGAGTAATGGTCTTAACCTGAAAAGTGAAGTGGAGAAGCAGAGTGAGTCAGAACTGCGAGTGTCTGGGCCATGGAAGCGCTCTGAGGCCAGCGGCTGTGCCTCCTTCCGCCTTGCAGGCGCTCAGTGATGTTCCCAGGCTTTCACTGGATCTTGTCAACATGGGGCATAACAGGAAGCAATGTTTTGCCCATCCACCAGGTGCAGGAGGTTGTGCAGAGGGTCGAGAGCTGTATACATGTGTGGTTTCACTTTGGTCCAGGCCAGGAACATGGACAGTTGAGGTTCTTTCCCTAGGCCTTGGTTTGCTTCTCTGTCGCCTGTGAGTAACAGCACGGTGGATCTTGGCGGCAGTGTGGGAACTCAGTGGAAGCACTGGGGACGGCTGTCTAAAGTGCGAGTTGCTCATGTGGCCAGGACCTTCCCGAGTCCTGGCTGAGCAGCGTCTGCATGACAGAGATGTGTATCTGTGAGCTGTGTGCACTCCTGCCTTGGCCCGTGGCATACCGGGCCTTGGCTGAGGTCAGGCCAAGTCCCTGATCCTGTGGCTGCCCTCGGCACTGTTAGCTCTGGTCTGTAAACGTGGGTTACAGTGTCACCATTCCAGCACCAAAGAGGGCAGCTGTTCTGCCCATGCCCCGTGGAAGCCTGTTATGCTCGGGCATTGGTGCAGGGGTGTCCTGTGGCTTGCTGAGTTGACCAATAGCAGACACTGAGCTCCACCTTGCAGCTCCCAGCAGCGGGTCTGTATTTCTGTTTCTTTAACGACATCATGGGATCTGTGTGTGTTTCCCTTGGAACGCCCTGGGCACATCAGATGGGGTTCTCGGGGTCTCGGTCATTACCCGCGTATGAGGAAAGGCTGGCTCTTCTGCACACTTGGGGACGCCCTTGGCATGCGCTCTATTAGCATCTTAGGGGAATCGGTTTTAGTACCTTTCATAGATAATCCTTGTGCCCAAGACTGACTGGACTTGTGGTGGGTGAGCTGGAATCTGGCTGGAGTGTGGACCTGGGGGAGGCACTCTCTGAGCCAGCACCGCCAGAGGCTGGGAACCACACACACTCTCGCTTCTCGGGACTTTGAGTTTCTACCTCACCCAGGGTTTGTCACAGGTAGATGGGAGTAAAGGAAACAGAACAGGGTGGGTTCACTGCCCCCCCCCCTCCACTGCTTCCAAGTAAAATTCCCTTGGGAGTACACAACTTGAAGACAAATCTCTCTAGAAGTCCTGGGTCTCCTGGGCCGCCATCTTTTTCAGTGAACAGATTCCAGCCCTGGGCTCATTAGTTTGAAAGGTTTGTGTGCAGTGTTCACCGAAGGGGATTCTCTGCCGAGGCTGGGAAGCAAGGCGGCCTTCTGGACCTGTGCTGTGCTGTGGCCTGCAGTGGCTGTTGCCACGCTCGGTGGTGGACTCGAGTGTCGTCCTGCTGGCCAGAGGCCGGGTGGTAGCCTAAGAGCCCATTTAATTTAAGTAAAACCTAATCTGAAGAAAAGCACAGCTCTGCAGCTGTGCTGGGAGCTCAGGTCCATCCCACCTGGTGTCGTCCGCCAGGGCTGTGGTTGACCAGGGTTGGCTTAGGTTGCTTGGCTGGGCCACCCTTTTTGAACCTGTGCATGATCAATTTCCAGCCTTGGGGATGCACCTGGCCGTTCACAAGCATCTCTGTGGCAATAGTCACAGGAGCCCAGTGAGCAGTGTCCCTCTAAATGGTCTTCTCCCCACAGCTCAATCTGGTGTCCAGCGTCACGCTCTCCAAGTCTGCCTCTGAGGCTTCTCCACAGAGCTTACCTCATACCCCCACGACCCCCACCGCTCCCCTGACTCCCGTCACCCAAGGCCCCTCCGTCATCACCACCACCAGCATGCACACGGTGGGACCCATCCGCAGGCGGTACTCAGACAAGTACAACGTGCCCATTTCTTCAGGTAAATACTCCATGTTGGCCTTGCTTGGGGTTGTCGCCTGCAATTCTTGCCGAGCGGCTCCTTTTTTAAAAAGTGATGATTAATAGGACAATGATTCTTATTTAGCAGATATTGCGCAGAACCAAGAATTTTATAAGAACGCAGAAGTTAGACCGCCATTTACATATGCATCTTTAATTAGGCAGGTAAGTAAACAGTGCAGCATGCGAAATCACATACAAAGGTGTGTGTGTACATGGATATATTGTATTGATGAAGTAGATTTAAAACCGTTTAGTATGCCACATGCTAAAACCTTTTCTATAAGGTTTTTAAAAACTGCAATATATAACATAATTGCTTTTGATTAAGTATTACAATGCGATGTGATTATTAGGAAATTCATTTCACACAACAGTGAAAATGAGCCTGTTTAAAGATGGCAAGTCAATTATCACAAGCTACAGTAATCTCTGATCCCTGGAATTAATCTGAGCTCTAAATAATTACTGAGCTTTAATCAGCTAGTGAAATGTTTTGCATTTCTCTTTGATTCTGCTTTATGAATGACTAATAAATTAATATTTCTGTACGGAAACAGAAATAAAAACTCAAAACAATTAGATAATTCCATTTTGAGTTTTGCTATTGAACTGTTAAATACAACCATTAATCTTAGATCATTCTGTGAAACAAACCTTTCTTAGGCTCTGAATGTCAGTGATTTTATACTTTCAGGAACCTGGTTAGTGACAATTCTTGCTGATGTGGTCATAAATTACCTTCTTCCCGTAACTTTTGCTTCGCAGGCCATTCTTGAATCTCCAGAAAAGCAGCTCACGCTGAATGAAATCTATAACTGGTTCACGCGAATGTTTGCTTACTTCCGGCGCAACGCAGCCACGTGGAAGGTAAGCCTTCTCCGGGCCTAGAGCGCAGTGACTGGGCTATTGGAGAGTCGCAGAGCATCCACTCTGTAGGAATAGATGGTTAAAGGGCTGCTTTGTGGTCGAGGTGCTCAGATGGAAGGTTCGGCATGACTCGGGCCGCACAGGTGTGAGTGGCCCTCCAGGGAGACCCTCTGTCTCTGGTTGCGCCCTAGGGACACTGCCAAAGGACTTAGGCACACCTCCCTCTCTTAGGTGTTCAGCCTCAGCCAGCATTTGCAGAGAGGCAGGGGCAACTTGTTTTTCCAGCATGAGGATCCTACCTGCCTGGAGGTCAGGCAGCCTTAACCTCCATTGGTTGGGTCAAAGCTCACCAACCCAAGTACTTGCAAATGGTGCTGATTAGAGAGAAAGCACTGCTTTATGAAGCCGGTCTTGGGTAGCTCTGAAGGGAACAGACTGTCCCACACAGGGTCACGTTGTTCATAGGGACCCAAGGAAGAAGAGCAGCTTCTGAGGTGCATCCTGCATTATGACACCGTGTGTGGCACACATCAGCGATGCTTGGGGTCCATGGCTCCCATCAGGACGTAGTCCCTCGTATTAGATGAGGCCCCCCTTTTCAATTTCCTGGTGTCTGCTGCTCATAGAAGACAGCAAATACAGTCTAACAGGCATCTCTGTACCTGGAATCTGGTTGATCCCTGCAAAACAGACTGTTTGATGGAAACATTTTAGGATTTTTACCATGGGATTTATGGATTGCAGGGAAAACTTGCTTTACTTGATATGTATCCCTTCCCCTCTGTTTTCTTAATTCTATATGAGAGGAAAGCAAAGCCAAACGATGTATCTTTGATAAATTAGCATTCAAAAAAAAAATCGTACAGTTAACTCATGAGACTCGTGAGTGCCGAAGGGAACTTTTTGTTCAAAATCTTACCTTTCTTTCACTTGACTTGGGAGATAAAACACAAAGGATCTTGAGCCCCAAATGCTTTTAAAAATTTAGGAAGTTAGAAGCATGAGGCAGACATTTTCTTCAAATTGCCTTTTATAAATACCAAATGATGAAATTTAAAAACAATTACCAGTCGTGAATGTAAATTCAAGCTCAGATCTAACTTTTTCATTTTTGCAAAGTGCAGGGAGAGGGGTCATTAATACAAACAACCCTAGATGAAGTACTTAATGCCTCAGATATGCAGACTGTTCCCTCTGTGAGCTCTGATGAAATGCCCAGATATCAGGTTAGGACCCAAGAGAGCGCTTTCTTTTTTGAAAACTCTCGGTTACTTGTTGCTCTCTGCCTCAGTGTCTGACTGGGTTGGGCAGTTAGGCGCACAGAACCTGTGATGTGGGTTGGTTTCCCATGCTCTTTTTTAAAGGGAATTTGGCTTCATGTATTTAGCATCTCTTCCATGTTGTTTGAGGAGACTGCACATAAAGTGCCACCGAGTGTCTGCTGCAAAGAAATTTTTCTCCCCAAGTCTAAGTGCACCATGCCACGTGACTTCAGGGAGCTTGTAGGCAAACCTGTCACAGTTTTTTTGAATCAAGGATAGCCTTTGATAGTGTTGCCCTCACACTAGTCAATACGTCTGGGAGTTTACCCTGTAAACTTATGAGCAGGCCATGTCACCATCCCATAAAACAGCTCATCATATTCAACATATACCATATCAAAAATGATTTTGGCTTGAATTCACCAATTATGATCAGCAAGAAATTAAGGGTCATTTGGAGATCGCATTTTCCAGATGGTGGGAACGATGGCCTTACCAGAACAAAGGGGCTTGGGAAGAGGGGCTCTGCCATCCCAGCTGAGCTACTTCCTCCATGACAGGGGTCGCTCTGTACTTACTCGGGCCCAGGAAGGGTCATGGCTCTTGAGTGGAGACCTGTGTGCACGGTGCATTATACACATGCAAAGTCTCCATCAGAAATGAATCCTAACATGGGAAAGAAACCCTCACCTGCAGGCTTTCTCCCCTGACTTGATGGGCAGCTGCTCTCCTTTACAGTGGGGAAAGTAAGGTGCTGCTCACCCCTGGGGCTTAGTTCACCTAATCCTCTTGGCCTTCGAGGTGATGCCTCAGTGATAAGAATCTTCCCTCCTCAACCTGTAGAGGCTCTGAGAAGGCAAAGCTGCCCTGGACTTCACAGCATTTCATCATGTAAAGAGGATCGTTTCATGCTCAGAGTTTCTTATTTTGAAGTCACGGTGACAGTATTAATCCAGAGCCACTTGTAGGGCCTGTTTGGGGCTCCTCCTCCTTTTCTGGTTGGATAGTGCCAGAGGGGAGACAGAAGGGCTGTTAAGCCAGTCTCCCTGGAGCACCGGAAGGACCTCCCGGGGTGGGCGGCAGCTGGGGAGTGGTGTTCCCGTGGGGACTGTGTGGCTGAATGTACTGTTTCTGGAGTCTTTTCTTACAGAAATTGTAAATGTTCTCTCTCTTATACCTGCTGCAGAATGCAGTGCGCCATAATCTTAGTCTTCACAAGTGTTTTGTGCGAGTAGAGAACGTTAAAGGGGCAGTGTGGACGGTGGATGAAGTAGAGTTCCAAAAGCGAAGGCCACAAAAGATCAGTGGGTACGTCCACCACGTTTGACTTCTGCGCCCAGCTCGGACTGTGCTAACTCGTGTGACGTAGAGGCTTTGGCTGCGAGACGCTGTCAGACCACAGAACTGGTTTCACGTTGTCTCAGTCAAGGGAAGCAAAAAAGCATTTCACCCTCCTGTCGTGTGCCCCCGCCAGCCCCGCCCTGCTTGCTGGTCTGTCGCATCCCATGCTAGCGTGTAGGTGCAGCGCATATTAACCCTCACGAGCCATTCGCCTATGCTTATCGCGTTTTATTTTCTTTCTCCTGTCCCCTGTACTGGATGTGTGTCCCTCCCCCCGCCCCATCCCCTTTTCGTGCCACTCCATCTCCTTTGCCGCTGCTCCTATCCCAGGGTGCCATTCGCACCAACCTGTCACTGCATAAGTGCTTTGTCAGAGTAGAGGATGAGTCTGGGTCCTTTTGGACAGTTGATGACGAAGAGTTTAAACGTGGCCGCCATAGTCAACGAGGCCGTCCTCGCAAGTACTGCCCCGCTGCAGACTCTGACGAGCTTGTCGCACAGTAAGAGCCTTTACTTGCTTTCCTTTTGTTTTCTGCTGTGGCTTTGGCTTTGCATGGTTGACCCATCCCATGGAGTCGTGCATTTCACCTCGTAGCAGTGCCGCAGCTTCCTGCCAGGGAACTGGCTTGTGTGATGCGTCCATGTCCTCTCGCTTCTCTGGATCGCCAGTGCCTTGAACAATGCTTTTTTGACGTCTTTGATGCAAATTAATTGTATTTTGACTCAGCAGCTGACTATGATTATTTTTTGTGGGACCCATGATTTCTACAAGTAGAAAAGTCATTTAATGGGACAAATTTCTTATTTGCTTATCATAAGGTAGATAGTAGCGAGCGTGGGGGGGACTTGACCAGGTGGCCCCCTACCATGCTTCCTTTAAGGTACGGACACGGACAGCTTCCTTTCCCCTCCGTGTGCGCCGTGTCATTTTTTAGTAGTTATGGGAGAAGTCCGGAGCTTTTCTTCAAGGAGTTCCTGGGCTTCCTGCTCATAGGCACAGCACCAGGCCCACACCCAGCTGTGCCACAGGCTTCTGCCCAGCAGGCATTGTCTGCAAGGGCTTAGGTCCTTAGGATGCTTCAGAGTCCAATTCTGCCCAGGGCTTGCTTCCCAGCAACTAAAACTTTGCAGAGAGGTCTCGGGAGGGAGTCCCCACGTCTGGTAAGCCAGAATTTTACACCCCCTTGCCTTGAACGGCATACGCTATTGCCGGAAGTATGTGTACAGCCCAGCTTTCAGAGTTGGTTGGTGGGGGAAGTTTCTAATTTGCAAGGCTACGAGCAAGCTTAAAACTGAGCTAGGAGCTCGGGGCTGGACTGCAGTTAACTCTGAGTCTCTGTTTTTCTCACGCAGTAACCCTTCCCTCATTAAAAACATGCAGAGCAGCCACGCCTACTGCACCCCTCTCAATGCGGCTTTACAGGTAAGATGGATAGCCCTCCCGAACACGCGGCTGAGGCACACGTCTCCCACACTCATTGCAAAATATATTAGCCTCGCTCTAATTAGATATTAAATTTTAATTCCGTTAAACTTTTTTCTTAAGTGCACAAAGCATTGTACTCCCTGGAGGCACACGCATCGGGCTGCTTCAGCATTAGCAGGATGCTTAGCATTTTGAATATTGTGGCAAAAAAATTAAAAGTTCACTTATTAATATTTATCAGCAGTATCATAATTTCCATCCTCTTATTTCAGAATTTCACTTGAGGCAAAAATACCACAAGTGTAATTACTCTAGCACAGCTATTAGTGTGCGGGATGATAGGCCACCGCATCACATGACCTTCTATTGTTCACGGGTTTCAAGAGAAAGCTGAGCTTTGTGTCCCTCCTCCTCCTGGACAGCCGCAGCATGCTCTCTGCTTTGGGGGGAGCATCCGGGTTTGTTTGGAGAGCAGCCTTGCCCAGGCTGGAGGCCCCACATCCTCCTCTTCACACGGGATGCCTCTCTTTCCTTCATCCTTGGACGATGATGGAGGAGACCTTACGTACATCAGGTGGGGGTGAATATTGGGAGCCTGTCCCTCCTTTCCACTAGCACCAGTTTTTCAACACAAGTAAAAAGAATAGTGGGACAATATCATTTTAAAAAAATTACTAGAACAACATAATGCATGGTATACAATTTATAAAATAGGACAGCAGAATCCACTACAGAAATAAAACATGGGACTCGGGACAGATTGCATTATGCTCTGAAAAAGGAAGTAACTAGGGGTAACGGTAAAGCTCGTATTTATAGATTGAGCCGCCCCGAGAGCCTGGGAGGCAGACGCCATGGTACTGGTGGACTTGGGCACCATTGCTAAGCCCATCCACTCTGGTGGCAGAGGTGCCACTTTCATAGGTAGGACCCTTTAAGTCTATATTACAAAAAATTTGGACCCCAGCTCCAAAGGGGACATGAACTGCTGAAAAAACCCTGAGGCAGGAGTCAAGTGTGTCTAACCTGGTGGGATGGTCAGAGGGTCCAGTCTCCTCAACCTTGGAGCCCAGCACAATCAATGCTTACAATGGAGGGTGAGGCATTACTTCCAGGAACACATTCTTGCAGCCATTTCAGTTTTGACTTTACTTCTGAGGCATCTTAGCTATCACTGACCCTGCAACTTGCAATGCTACTAGTAATTTTGCCCAAAAAGTCAACACACTATATTGCACGAGACCCGTACTAACAATAGGACAGTGGGGAATGGGGATCACAGTAAGTTTACCACACAAGGAAGGAAAACCAGCGTGTTTCCCCTCCTTTTTACCTACATGGAGAACTGGAGGGCAGTGGGCTTATTGAAGCCCTGCCCTCGAGATGGGTGTGCCTGCGCTGCAAGTGTACCCCTGCCACGTGCTCTCCGCCTCTGTGGTTGGCTCCTACCTTCTCCATGCCAGGACGTCCACAGGAGCCTGCACTCCTGCATGAGAGGCCAATGGGAGTCGCCATGCTGGATTGACTGTCTAGGATGGAAAGCCAGGCACGGGGCAGTCTGGATAAATCTTGGTCTAATTACCAATTGCCAATTTTTCAGTCTGTCCCCTTGAATAAAATGAAAAACCACCATGTTACAGCCACCCCCCCCCCAGTGAAACCAGTACAGGGACTTCAGTGCAGGGGATAGCATCCACCCCAGGGGTAGGGTAGCATTTTTCCATTTCTACTTTTTTTCACTGACACTCATTTGGAGTGATTTTGTCACCTTTAATATTGGTGTTCATAGGCACCAAACATAAATGAGATTTAAAACTTCCTTTTGCTAGATATTTTTCTTTCATCCTAAAATCACAGGTGATTGGCGTGAGTCCAAAAGATGACTCCATGTTCCTTTAACCGATCTCAAATTTCACTAAACAGATTCAAAACCCATTAAAACAGGAATGATGGGGGGGGGATAAAAATTGATTCCAATTCTATGATCCCTTCCTTTTCTATAGGATCTAAGAGGTAAGTGTTTATGGAAGTCCTCATAAATCTGAGCGATGCAGCCAGAATAATGTGATCAGATCTCTGCTATCCAATAGCGGAGTCATCAAAATGGATATAAGAAATGAAAATTCCATTATATTCCACTGTGATCTGGAAATATTCAGTTTCTCTTGAAAAAAAGGCGTCAGATATAAACCTCCCATTAGACAGCCCGTGGCCACCGCAGCACTGGGTTGGGCAGGGCCAGGACTTCTTCCCCAGGGCCTCCCTTGGCCGCGTGCCCCAGGCGCTATGGAAGCACAGCCCCTCACCTTTGACACCTGCGCACCAGTTCCCTGGCAGCCATCTGCAGGGTGCCCCCGCCTGCATCTTCACGTGCTCTCTCTCATTGGTGGCAGGCTTCGATGGCGGAGAACAGCATACCTCTATACACTACCGCTTCCATGGGCAACCCCTCCCTGGGCAACCTGGCCAGCGCCATGCGGGAGGAGCTCAACGGCGCCATGGAGCACACCAACAGCAACGAGAGCGACAGCAGTCCCGGACGGTCCCCTCTGCAAGCCGTGTGAGTACTGCCCGCCCCACGCGCGGCTCCTCCTCCGGGCGCTGTGTACCTGTCCAACAGTGTCGGGAACCCAGGTAGACAACTGTGTTCCTAGAAGAGCTGCTGCCATCCCTGTAAACACGGTTGCCGCTGCACGCAGCAGTACATGGGGCACGTGGTGCACATCTGGCCGTCGGTTGAGACGCCGTTCAGGTGGAGCCCTGGACCTAACGGAGAGGAGAGAGGTGGTTTACTTGGTTGGGTGAGAACTGGAACGGCAAACGTGACGCCGCAGCCCTATTACCGAGCATTAATGATGGCACAAATGAAAGGCGGCATGATTTATAGATTGCTCTTAAAATATCAAAAGGAAAATTAATAGGAGCATTGCAGCAGCAGACGGAGGGTAATGAGTGCACACGTGACCGGGGGCCACGCTGAATGGGAACGGCAACAGGCCCAAGCCACCCAGGGGCTCTGCTGTCCCCAGGGGTGGGGGGCTGAGTGGGGAGAGTTCTAAACCAGAGAAACGAAACCACATGACTTCAGGTGGCTGGAGCTTCAGAATGACAGTCTCTCCCTTTCAGCGAGCTTTCTTTGCGGCTCACTTGAAGGGGACTCGATTTTGGCACCATTCTGGTGGCTCCCAGAATGGGCCATCTGCCCACACATCCATGATTTACTGACCAATATTGTATTTTAAGATGGTTTGAGTGACAGGAGAAAAGTTGTGACCTGTAGCAGTTAGCAACAGAAGGAACTGGCATCTAATGACCAGCGTCAGTGCCCTCTGCCATGGTAACTGCAGGACTTGGGGGTCAGAAATGTAGTGTCCTAGCGTTTGCATTCCGTGCCCAAAGTGCTCTGGCAAGGCTGGGCAGCAACAGGAGCAGTTCTTGCCACCCGCTGCGCAGTGTCTGAGGAAAGTTGGTCCCTCACACGGCCGCCCTTCGCCCTTCTAGAGCAGCCTGCTGTTTGAGTCGATTGTTACCACACTCGTCTTCATCTTTTAGTCACGACAGGAGGGTTTACGCAATATTAAGAAATTCAGAGCAATTATAAATTGGTGTACAAGCTACCTCAAGAAATGCCCACTAGAACAAAAACTCTGAACCTGCTTTTTCTCAACATCTGCACAAACTCCAAGGTTTAGTTCATAAACATTCCTGTAACTCAGTGCAAAGAAAGAGATCTGATGATGCTTCCCAGGCTGGGCTGAGAATGGTGCTCCCCGTCACGCAAGATCAAGCAACTCTGAGTTAACCCCAGTACTGCCAACAACCATGTTTCCCCAGTCAGCACAACTTTTGTGACACAAAGGTTTCAACTGCTTGGAAACAATCCCAGCTCCGTAGGAAGAGGTGTTGCTCAGATCTCAGGTGCCTGCATTCGCTGGGTGTGCCTGAGTCAGCAGTAGGTCCTGTACCGTCCCTGCCCTGGGTACTCTGTGGGACCCTCTTGTTCCCATTAAGAGAATCCCATAGTGACGTGTTTTTACTCTTGCCCAATGTGCATTACCCTGCACTGAGGCGAATTGTTTTTTGTAACTGTTCCAGTCTACTGGAATAAATCAAGTCATCAACTTTACGGCAAGGCTTAGAGGACCTTGTGGGGACAGCAGTCCAGCCGATGCCTGGTGTTGAAACAGACCCCTTTCTTCTCATCCTTCCCACGGTCCACCACATTTCATCTCTTTGTTGAAAGCAGTCATGAGCCTGTGGATGGTAGGGCATTATACTCTTATCCTCAGAGGAAGTAAAGAAGCTGCAAAGCAGAATTGGGTTGTGCCCTGTGTCCCCACCAGATCACAGTGCCTGAACACCAGCCAGCCATGTCCCAGAGTGGAGGCACAAAGGAATTGCTCAGATGGAAGAGAAAGCCCAGGTTTGCACCTGCACTTCACCTTTCAATGGAAGAAGATGCTGAAGGTGCACACCTGCTCCAGAGGACACGCGGGCCCCAGTGTGAGGCCTGGTACCTGGAAATCTCTACCCTCTGCGTTTCTGTTCAAGAGCGCTGTAGCCAGCGCCTACCAGTTCCAAGAAGCCCTGTATCTAACCTGGTTGGAGTCAGGCCATCTCACAGTGGGCCTGGTGGTCAACATTTGCCGCAGAGCTGCTGTGTGTGACTCGGGTAGAACCAGCAGGGATGCCCTGTCTCCGGGGAAGTAAACACTGAACTCGGGGGAAACTGTCTTCTCTGATTCTGTGAGCTATTTTGTGGGGACTTTTCCTGTTTCTGGGTCTTTTTGCTGTCTGAGCTTTGCAAATCTTCTGTGGAAGTCTATAGCGACAAGGCAAGACCCCCAGGAAGGCTCCCACGGTTCCTTTCCTCACCCCCAACCCAAAGTTTTCTGTGACATCATCAGATTCTGCTTTATAAACTCAAGAAGATTAATATTTCTGATACATTTTTCCTACTACAAATCTTTTACGGTAAGTCTGGACTGTGACGTTTGCGGCCCAGTCCAGGGCTAACAAGCCTCGTCCCCTCGTCCAGGGGACGCTGCCGAGAGGCAGGCTCCAAGGAGGAGGTCTTGGGTCTCCACAGTGAAGATGCGGAACGGAAGCCTGCACTGTCGTCAGCCCACTGCGGCGCACAGCTTGAGGGGGCCTGCGCTGGACCCCCACCCACCATGCCGCAGACCAGCTTTTAAACATGATGCTCGATCCTGACGAGATGGAGTCTCGATGGGCTTAGCCCCTTTGGAAATTGATATCACAGGAGCCATAGAGATGTTTTAGCCTTTGCTCCAACAATTCCATTCTTAGAAATTTATCCCAAGGAGCTAAACCAACAGAAGTAGAGAGATTAATGGATAAAAATGGTGACTTTTTTTATGCAAACAGGGAGGGCCTAGAGTCGGCCTCAGGTAGCCTTAACAACCGTGGCTGAAAAGCTAGCCAAAGTCACAGTGCTCCTGCAGTGTCTTCGAGGCCCAGGCAGCCAAAATGGACCTTGAGTAGGGTCCAGCTAAGGACATCCATCAGTGTACTGGATTCTCAGCGGGACAATACAGGGAATCCCACCAGGCAGACGCTTGGTTCAGTGCCCTGAGTGTCCCTTGAAATCCTTGATTTTTGAGCTGGGAACCCTGCATTTTCGGCCGTGCACATTATACCGTAAGGCCTGTGTCCTACGCAGACAAGGAGTCGTCCTCCTAAAAACCAAGACACGTAAAGTGCACTATGGCAACACTTAAGCCTCGTTTCATTTTGGCAGGGTCTTTTAAAGCTATTTATCTGACATCTTGTCCCCCAACCTCTCTGTATGCCATGCTGATTTCAGAGCAGATTGATTCTGAAGGCTGCGTCTTCCAGGGCAGTCCCAAGCACACCTCTGTTTGTTTTTAAATGGTTCTGGGGCCTTTGTTGCACACTGCATCAATTATTTAGGGAGCCAACCATCCCAGCACCACCTCTCCTTACTAATACTTGATAACGTCAATTAAAACAAAAATCCTCCCTTCTGCAGCCAGTCCCGGAGAGGGGAGGTTTTATTTTATTTTTTTTAACTTGAATGGTTCTTTTACATATCAAAAGCCCAGCAACAGAACGTAATTTGTATTTGCAAAGGATCTGTTGTAAATATGATTTACGAACAACACTTCTCAATTGTTATCAGAGTGGCTTTGTGTGATCACCCCAGTCCCCTTCGGGTGAACCAAGCTCTGGTCCATAATGAGAAAGCTGGCAGATCACATCGAGGCCCGTGGCCGCTACCAGCAGGGCTGCATGTTTCGCCTTGTTTATGGCTGACAGCACTACTCTGATTGTGGCCCGCTTCCTTATCGTACTGTTGTGTGGAGCGAGACTTCTCCTCTCCGTTTGTGTTTCCTGGCAGGGCTTTTCTTGCCTTATTGACAGTTTGTAAAAATATGCATTAATTTGGAGTTTCAAGCATGTATCATGGTGTCTCTGTGCTGTGTTTCCTTGAAGTTGATTAATGATAGGACCTTGCTTGGGGTCGTCCTCTGGAGAGTTCTTTCACAGGTTCTGCATGTTAACTAGCAGAGTACACAGCAAGCCACGATTAGCCCCATCTCCTGCGCTCTGGTCCCCACAAACCATCGCTGTTATAGATTCCCATTTTAGGGAATGATTTGAATGGTGGTGTTCCCCCACCTCCACCCCGGGCCCACGCGGGCCCATTGTCGGTCACTCGGGCTGGGGGACATTAGAAATACAGAGTCTCAGGCCTGCCCCCAGACCACCTGACTCATTGCTACATTCTAATAAGGTCCTTGGGACTGAGAGATAGAGCAGGACACAAGCCCCCGGTCTGAGACCAGCTGTGCCAGAGCGGCACCACAGAACAGCTTGCCACATGGGGCCCCTGAGCGGCACAAAGCTCCCATGTGGGACAGTGTGGGGTCAGGGTGCGCCAGGCCCCAGGTGCCCTCTGACCCTCTCTTTATTTCCCCAGGCATCCTGTGCACGTCAAAGAAGAGCCCCTCGATCCCGAGGAAGCTGAAGGGCCTCTGTCCTTGGTGACAACAGCCAACCACAGTCCAGATTTTGACCATGACAGAGATTATGAAGACGAACCGGTCAATGAGGACATGGAGTGAACACCTGGGCGGGGCCAGTCCGAGAGGGAAGATCAGAGACGAGAAACAAAAACATGTCCAAAGTTTGCAGTGCAGTGGCTCTGCGTTGGCCGAACAGGCTGGAGGAGCCTCACTACACTTTGGCAACTCTGAAACGTGTTAACTCTTAGTGCCATCAAGAATCCCATTTGGGAGTATTTTTGATTTTTCTACTTTTTGTTGAAAAAAGGAATTTGTACTCTGTGCGTTGGATGGACTCGTTTGGTACTTGGGATTTTCCTCTCTTCACAGTCAACATCAGTGTTGTAAATTTGCTAAACTGAGATTCACTTTTAGCAGCAGACTTTGAACTGCAGTCCTGCCGGCATTGGACACTGAGGACGCCGACTGAGCTTGCACACCTGAGCTGCAGACCACGCCTCTGCCAGGATCAAGGACTCCAGTGGACGACCTGTTGCACAGTACCGCATGTTGATATCACTGCCTTTACGCCTTTGTTTTTTTTTTTTTTTTTTTTTTTAAGAGAGAGTGAGAGAGGAGAGAGAGAGAGAGAATTTTTTTTTTTTTTTTTTTTTGCTTCCAGTTGGGATGGGGAAGGCCTTTGTGTGTGTATTGGGGGGCGGGGTTAAAATTATCCCAAACTTTTTAATGTATTGCTTTTTTTTTTTTTTCCTTCTACTTTACCATTTTAAGTTCTGACCTCAGGCCTCCACTTGGGCCCACGGCCTCTTGGAGGCTTAAAGTTTTCTGTACCTTGTGATGAATGTTGATAGGTATTTTTTATTACACAGAGCTGAATGTCATTTCTCGTTCGTAGTTTTCTGTCACTCATTCCATTTTCCTACAGACGCCACCACGTTTCTCTGAAGTCAGAAAACATTCCGTTTTGGTCTTTTTTCAAAAAGGTCCCAAATGCTGCAACTCTACACATGAAGGTCCCGTCACACAGATGGGACGTCCTGCCAGAAAGAGAATGAATGACAGAAAAAAAATAGAGACACACTCAGAACAATGCAGACTCATTCCACAGAGCAGTATTGGGGTGGTGAGGGGTTGTTCAGAATTCCTTTTTTTTTTTTTTTTTTGAAAATAAGAAGCATCATTCTGAATAAATGCCACAGCACTGCACCAGCACAAGAACACAGGCAGGGAGACGGTGATGATTAGGCTGACCTCGTGGATGGGAATGGCTCTCTCTCCATGACCACGGGGTCAGGGTCTGGGGCTCCTTGCTGGGATGACCACCGTGTGCTGCCTTGACTACAAAGTGACCAGAGGCCAGCTCCCCCAAAGCAACTTTGTTGGAGGGGGGCAGTGCCGAGGCTGGATCATTGGAGCTGCCTGGTGGCACTATTCTGTTTAAATGCAAATTAGACTTCAGGTCGCTCTTGTTGAGGGTGTTAATGAGGACCCAGTTCAGCAAATGCCGAAGTGTGTGTCAGGGAGGTGCGCGACTGGTGTGTCACGATCACTGTCCGACAGAAGACATCAGGTAGACCAGGTCCTGCAGGCCCTGGGCTTCCGGGGAGCCGCACCGGGCGTTCACAGCGCCTTGGCCTCGGTCCTCCAGCCCGGCCACACCTCCGTCTGCACCCATTTCCCTGACATGTATTTATCTAGAACTGTAGCTTTTGTTTTTAGTTTGAGAGCCTTTTGGAGCTTAATTTATATTCTTTGTACCTTTTATTTCTAAAATTACCAAAGATATTACACAAAGGTAAATTATGTTCTCTGTTTTATGCTTTATCTGATGAAGCCAAATATCCTCTTATTGTTGATCAAGGGAGGTGAAAGGATTTAGAAGCAAATGATAAAAGATACAGGCTATTGCTAACCTGAGAAAGTTGGCCATAGAGCAGATTTAGAAGACCAAGTAGGTAAAGGAACCAAAGTTGTTACTTTTTTCTAGTTTTTCTTTTTTTCTTCTTCTTGTACCTCTACAGAGACCAAAACTCATCCTTATTAAGAAAAATTATGGGGCTACTGAAGATGAAAATAGGACACAGTATTATAGTTGCTACAGAAGGAACGAAGTCCCATCTCAAAGAGCTGTGAGCGTTGCCACCGGAAGCGAGCATGTCCAATAGAGGAGACAGTTAAGCTGAAAACCAGAAAGAACCGAAAAGCATCTGCAATTGAACCTAGACCACATGATAGCATTTCTAGAATATTTTTGTTGTTATTTAGTGAGATTACATGCCATTTTTGTTTAAGAACTGTGCTGTGATCACTGCATTAATTTTGGTTTATTTTGGCATAGATCCTCCAATTTGTCTTATATTATTTATCTTTTTGGAATAGACTTTGGACAACATTTTTCACTTACTAAAATGGGAAAAAAAAAAAAAAAGTAACACTCCTGTCCACTCATAAGCTTGGTACAAAAACGTCTTTGGCAATGACCTTGGAAGCGTCACTCTGCTTTCTATTTGAAGGGCAGTCTGTGGTCCCTCACGGCTCCCCCACTTCTCCAGGCAGCTTCGTGATGTGCAGGCAGTAGCCAGGGGGTCCCGGGAAGGGCCCCATGCTTCTAAACGGAGTGGTTGCTGGTTAGGGTGGTATTCAAAAGAGGATAAAAATCTGGTAGATTAGCTCATTCTCAGCATGTGTAGCTAGACACGAGTAACGGTAACAGCATGAGAGACTGTTAGTACGCATACCTCAGTCCAAACCTTAGGAATGATGAAAACTTAAAAAATACATTTCACTCAGTTGCACCTAGTTGTATGTCTTGCATGCTTAGTCTAAAGACTGTAGCAAAAAAAGAAAAAAAAAAAAGAAAAATTAGATTTTACATATCTTTGCAGGTATCATAGCCTTGCAGAAGAACCAACTGAAAAAGCAATTCTCAGGCTTCACAGCAAGCAAATGTCACTATGATTTCTACAGTTCCGATTCTGTATCCCATGGGGGTTCCGGTCGCTTCCTTAGGATGGGGCTTATTATGTTGTACATAAATCCCAATGTGTCTGTGTGAATCTTTGTCTTTTTTGGGGGAGGGCAGAGGGCGGTTCTTTTTTTAGATATTGTTCCTAAAAAGGAATAAATGCATACACCTGTTTGTCAAAACACCTTTGCTTTTTGTGCAACTGCTTTATATTAACAACAAAAACATCCTTGGGGGAAAAAAAACTGCTGTATGTAATGGAATTGCAGAACATGCTGTACTTCCTTTGCTTTGAGAATATTGGATGACGTTTTCTGACATGGGAGGGAGAAACTTTTTTTTTTTTTTTTTTTTGCTTTTAAATTGTAACATAGTTGATGGATTTTTTTTCCCGTTATCATCGATTGGAGCATTTTGTACAGGTTCGTGTGTGCGTGGGTGTGTGTTTTAATCTGTTTTTTGATACATTCCTGTCCCTTGTGTTTTATCCTGCCACTGCCTTCCTGGCTGTCTTAAAACAAGTTCATACATTTGAAAAAAGAAAAAAAAAATGTTGTTTAAAAATGTTTTCTCCTGCTGCAGTAAATATTTTGCATGATGAAATTCTAGGGTCACACTTTCAAAGTTTATCAGTGAAGTAGTGATTCATAATGGGGAGTGTTGGAGATATTTGAAGTTTTGTATAAAAAAAGAAAAACTTTACAAGGTGCCAAGATGTAAAGACAGTTTGTTACTTTTTTTTTTTTTCCTCTCCTCAGAGAAAGGCATACATTAGGGAGGGGGTCCCATGTGTCAGACAAAGGCAGTGTCAGGAATGCGGACTCACCCTACTGTCCCTAGAGTCTGTCCCTGTAGGACGAGCGAGGCTGCCAGACTGGACCAGCAAAGAAAAGAAAGAGGTTATGCATTAAGAGTGACCGCCGACCCTGTCCCCTTCCAACTGTCCTAAAAGGATGCTCCCAGTGTCCCCTCAGACCTAATAAAGAAAAACATGGATTCTTAACCTAAAATGTGACGTAAATCACTAGATTTTTCTCTTTTTTAAGTCATAAAAACAAGGCGACTTCATGCATATTTGCCCCTTTCCCACCCATCCCAGCTGAGCTGCCTGCAGGGCTCATGGGCTGTGCTCATGACCACCCTCCATCTGTGCGGTGCCTTTGGGTTCCTGGCATCCCCTCCTGACATTCTGAATGTTTAGCAAGTCGGTTTCACCCTTTTATCCAGAGGAGGAGGTCTATAGCCCTCCAGGCATCCCGTGGGCCTGGCAGCTCATGTCACCCTGCTCCCTGCGGGCGGCCGTGGTGGCCACAGCGTGGTCCAGACTTGAGCGTGGTGATCCATGTGTTCGTGCCGCCAGTCACTAGAGCTGCTTTGTTTTGTTTTGATAAGGCATAAAAGAAACTCATTCCTTGACATCAAGTGTAATTCCATCATTCCATGTCTGTGGCTACAGACAATAAAAAAAAAATGTGGTGTAGTCAGTACTGACGACTGACACGATAGCGTTCTCAAATGCAATAAAGACGCTGGTTGTTCACACTGGTGCTCAACGTTGCCCCGGCCTACTTTGTTCCCTGAGCCCTGGTGCTGTGTGCGAGGCACAGGCTGGGGCTCCTCAGCCAGCTGCCTCAGAGCCAAGTCACCGTCGGGCTTCTCTACAAGCTGCACCACGAGCCAAGCAGAAGCCCTTTTGGAGGATGAGATTTCCAAGGAAAGCATGCACTGGGAGGATTGGGAAGGAGCGCCGACAAGGGCTGTCTCCTGAGGAAGCACACTCCTATTTCTCTTCATCAAATTTTATAAAGAAAAACAAAATGTTTAATAACTAGCATTAAGAGCAAACTAAAATTTCAGAGGAAAGCAATTTCATGAATAATTCATTAAAATTTCACATCTGCAAGATTAGTCATCCAAATAAAATGCTAATGTCAAAAACATGCACCGTCTATAATATTCTCATCAAGAAATCTTTTTGCATATAATGATAAATGCTTAGATTAGAACAAATGATTCTATAAAAATATTCTATCCAAAGTGCGCTGGATAGCCATGTTCAGTGCAGAAAACAACTCAGGAACCAAAATGTCCCAGAAAAACTACCTGACTTTTTTGTCATTTAAAAAAAATTCACTATGTTTAAAAATTGTGCAGTTTCTCTTTAGTGTCATTCTCTCATGTATACATGGGAAGTATTAATGGATCCCAGAATCATCTTCCGGCACAGGTTAAATTGCCAGTACATTGAAGACGGCGCTTGAAGCCGCCGAGCCGTCAGAACACAGAACCTATAACGTGTGGTTTCGAGCACATGCGACGACTCGCATCGTTGCCGTATCCGTGTGGTGAAGCGCCCACAGATGCTGGCAGACAGTGTTCTTGCCCAGCATTGTTCTGAGAAGCCCGAAGGAAAGTTCTGAATGCTTTTTTTTTTTTTTTTAAACAAATAGAATTTGCTGCTAGGTTGCAGGTGAACATTCTCCCTTCACTGACAGTTACGCCATACTCTGGAAACCTCTAGTGCAGTGACTAGCAGGACACCTAAACCTCTCCTGGCTTCTAAGAACACAGTACCAGGGTCCCCTGAAATCCCCTGAGAGGACGCATTGGTGAGGCTAGCCGAGGAC